CGTCTCAGGTTACGTATGTAACCATGGTTCCCCGAGTAGGGAACGAGACACTGTGTCCTCTAGGTTCCCTGCCATGCTTTGGACGCAAGCTTCAGACGAAGAAGTGGATGATGTGTTCTCCCGGCGCCTATTTATACTATAGTCGCATCGGTAGTAACGTCATTGTTGTCGCCGGCCAACGTGTTGTTGGTGTTTTTTCAATGTATGCTTCAGACACGGGTCACGATGAGGCGTTCCCCATAGCGACCCCTAAAGGATGCAGTGTCTCGTTCCCTACTCAGGGAACCATGGTTACATACGTAACCTGAGACATTAGTTTGTCTACACTGAACCTGAAGGTTACTGTATGTATTGTATTGTATTGTATTGTTACTGTATGTATTGTAAATGTATTGACATGCAAGTACTCTTATGAAAAAAAAAATATTTTCGCTGGGGTTTTAGCTTATTCTCCCTCGTGTCATTCTAAACCATTATGAATTTCTTCCGTGGGGAAATTAAAATATCTATATAGCTGACTGACACTAACATTATTTACAACATTTCTGTATGCCAATGAAGAAAGCAAGCCATATGGGTTTACAACTACATAAAGGTGAGTATATGATGACAGCTTTATTTTTATTGTTGGGTGAATCATCTATTAACTCTTTAACACATATTGCCCAGACCCACAGAAGAGCTTTTTAAACAAACAGGCAACCACAGCGACAAAAAAAAATCCACAACAGGCCTACATTGTCAAGTCAAGTCAAGTTTATTTGTACAGCGCTTTTCACGATACAAATCATTTCAAAGCAACTTTACAGCAAATTAAGTTTCTACAATATTTAGTGGTAGCTTATCAGTGGTGACTGTCAATTAATGTACATATGGCAGAAATGTACAGAAAAATCTATTTAAGACGTAATAAAACAGACGATAAACACTATTAACAGCAATTATTATATGACGCAACGAAACTTATAGCAAAATGTGGTAGTTCAATATGTTGTTTCAGGGTTGGCATCATCTCTTCTCAGGTGTTCTGGATCCAGACTGAAGCTTGTGTAAATCCTAGTTACCACGGGATGTCAATCCCAGCAGAAACAGAGAAACAAATAGAGACATAATTAGCGTAGCTGCTGTTCCAACCAAGCAAAATTGATTTGTTTAACCCAAACTAAAGAATAATAATGTGCATTTGATCAGATATAACTGCAGTACAAGATTACGAGATGCATTATTTGAATGCTTGGCCAGAGAAGATAGTGCCCATGTTGCTAGTCATTTCGTCTAGTTGTGCATGGTTATTAGTAATGTAAATAAGGGTTTAGATCTTATAGTGTAAAACCGTATGCTGCAGTCATTCTTGAAGTGGTGCCTACAGACTGTAGTATCAGAAGTGATGTTAAAATCCTTACATCTACTACTCTGAATCCAATTATTGTGAGTTTCTTCATCCAGGGGAGAAGTGTGAAAAACCTTTGAGAAGCCTCACAAAATGGGACACAGCAATAGCGGGACAAACCACCCTCACGTATGTTTAAACTTTATGGAGCTCTTCATTAAATAATTATATTACTGTGCTATACTTTAATATTTATACATTTATTGCGATAATATAACATTTTATATTAATCGTTCATTGACAAAAGATTGCGGCTGGTAATGCACTCACGCTATGGCTGAATACAGACCGGAACCTTTTATGCGCCCTGAGATTTCACCGGAAATACGTAGGCTGGGTGCCGTGTATAGAGTCCATTGCCTGTTTCTGCCCCCTAGTGGTCAGGAGCATTTCCGTTGTGTTGTGGCTTAATGTCGTTGTGTTGCGAGTTTAAGTTAGCTTTTTTAATTGTGTTGTGTTGTGAGTTTATGTTTGCTTTTTTAATTGCGTTGTGTTGTGAGCTTATGTTTGCTTTTTTAATTGCGTTGTGTTGTGCACTACTGGGAAACCGTACTAAAGAGCTGCTATGACATGAATGCATAATTATAGTTGCGAGCATTTGATTGCAGTATCGCACAGAGTCAGTACTCTGAAAATAGGGTATTTTACATTTATTTTAGTATCTACTTGGGCCAGACGTAAACATAGCTCAGACTTAGTGATAGTAATACATTACATTGCAACCGTCTCATGTGCATAAAACAACCAGTGGTCTCTTTAAAACACTTAAATGGAAAAAAAGCAAAAGCATCAAGATCAATGCTCAGGTCTCAGAGGGTTAAAGATGCATCCATCTAATAAAACCTGTTACTGATGCTCATAATTCAACCACCATTCTACCACAAACCCACTTCCCATAGCATGACTCTCACCGCAGCTTTATGCTGATCCAAACTTTTATTGATGGAGCATAATTAGCATGTCGTGCATCTTTACACCACAGCAGCAATCGTCGCTGCTGATCGTCTGCTGGAAAATTGGCGAATGCCAGACACTTTTTAAGCACACATTAGCAAGTGTTCTATGGGGTTCGTGTGTAAAGAGGCTGCTAATTAACTGGCGGAGAGCGAAAGGGGAAATGAGGCATGCGAGAATGAGGAGGAGGAGTATTTCGTCTTCCTTGTCCCGTTCTTTCTTTCTCCACCCACATTTGCTCATGAACTTGCATTGCTGATGTAGGAGAAACCTCTGGCTTCCCATGAGACATTTGATTGTGGAGCATTAGGGGAAAGAGCTGGAGCAGTGAGAGTGGAAAGCTGCAATGGCAGCATCTGCCCCAGCTTTATGGTCCCATGAGACGTGTGATGGCGAAACATTTAGCCATATGAACACTGGGGAATTTTTTTGCTATAATTTTGGCATTTGAAACAGGGATTTGTATTTGGTATTGCCTTAACGTTATGATCTTAAAAATAAAAAATAAAATAATTGTCAAGGTTGCTCTGAACAATTACTAACACTTAAGCTACATGGTATACGGGTAGTTAACTGAAACTAAAAACTAAAATTTTCTGTGAGGGGTAGGTTTAGGTATCGGGTTAGGATAAGGGGATAGAAAATACAGTGTGTACAGTAGAAAAAAACATTATGTCTATGGAATTTCCCCACAAAAAATGGAAACCTGTGTGTGTCAGATAGTTGTCAGTATTTCTCATTTACATTTGGTTTAACCTGAAGTACTAAAATAACTAAACATAAATTAATAAACTATATATACAAAAAAAAAAAAATCTTATAAACAAAAATGCATGCATGCATGTATGTATACAGGACTCAATTAAAATAATAGTAATAAGAAATAAATAAAAAAAGAAATGAATTAACATGAATAGGCAAAAACAATGGATTTTTTATTATTATTTTTTAAATCAATAAATTTTTAGGTTTCAGGATTTTAGGTTTCAGGACTTTGTATAAAGATTCTCAATTATGTTATGAAAGATAACAGAATGCTTTGCTTTGCTTTATGCAGTATGTGTAAAAAGACCATAAATGGGTTTTCCCCACTGTATCCAATGTATCTATACACCATCTAATTTGCATATTAATGTGTTCTTGGGGCAACATCAGGGCTGGACGTTATTTTTATTTTTTTTCACATAGCACTGGTGCTACAGAGGTTGAAAGTGTAGTAGCACAGGCCAAAACGTTGTAGCACAAGTATAAAACGTCTGTTATCATGTCTGAAAACAAACACAAGTAATGGAGTTCATCACTTAAACAGGCACTGATGTTCCATACAGAGCACAAAAAATACAAACCATCACAAAAATTGTTTTTAGACAAAGTTTTTTCTTAATTTGCTAAAAATGGAAGAGTGCAGAAACATAACACCTCTTACACCTTAACAAAATATAAAATAAAAAACAATGGCAGACATTTAGGGAAAGTGAGCAAAGATAAAAATCTTTGTCATTATTTTATCTTTGTTATTAGAAAATAAGAACAAAGATATACATTACAAATACACATAATATACAAATAAAACAAACAGTGCTTCATTTTTCAGGTACAGTATTTAGCAGTAACATTCAATAAATTGAATGAGCAAATATTAAAATAAAACACTATGTACACTATATACACATCAATTATACTATTTTAAGCAACTGACTGATGATAAGTTCATCAGTCAAGAGCAGCGAGTGATTTTTTTTTCTTTGTTTTGTTGTTTTATTAACATTAAAAAATAGCTCACCAAAAATGAAAATTCCGTCATCTGTCTTTCAATGCTGTCATAGTGTTTCATTTTTATACCATCATTTACTCAAGTTGTTTTAAACCTGAATTAGTTTATTTCGTCTGTTAAACATAAACGTTATTTTTGAAGAATGTGGGTAACCAAGCAGTTGCTGGTCTACAGTGACTTCCATGGTATTGTTTTCCTACTGTAAAAGTCAGTGTGGACCAGCTACTGTTTTTTTTGTTCAGCACAATAAATTAATACAGGTTTGGGACAAAATGTGAGCGAGAAAATAATGACAGAAATGTAATTTTTTGGGTGAACCATCCCTTTAATGACAGTCGCCAGCATGTTTAGTAGATACTGTCCCTTTAAGAGCTGCACGCGTTTCTCTCTCTCAACGGTTTACTTTCATTTTAGACATAACCAACTGTGTAAATATGTATATGTAAACCTTGTGTGTTTTTGACAGTATTAGACGCAAAATCAATCAGACGCGAAAGACAACTTAGTAGAATAATCAGGCGCTTTTTGACAGGCTCTCAGTGTGAGCGCCCTTCATGAGTACGCGCTCAGAAAAAGCGCATGCAGAACAGCACGTGAATTGAATGTTTAATCGGCATTGCTTTAAAGCAGATGGAAATAATGGTAGTTTTGTGATTGCGCATAAGTGCAGTGTCCCGTGAGAGTAACTCTACCGCTGAGCTAACACTGATGTGAATGCATGTGGCGTTGTACATTATAAACATTTTGGTTCGTTCTTAGCAAAACGATTGTAATGGGACCATGATTTGGGCACTACAAGTCCCAGCAGCCCCAGCGTTATATAAGGAAGTAGTGAAGTTTGTTTGCTCTTTCGCTTCCGCTTTTGATTTCGGGGATGTCGTGGCGGATTTAGAAGTTGAAAAGAATGGTAGGTAATGAGATTTGTTTGTGAGAGGTGCTCTCTCACTACTTCGCTACTTTTATTGATTGCATTCCGTGTATGAATTGATGTTGTGGCAGATATAGCACTTCAAAAGAATGGCAGCAGATAAGCAGTTATGTTAAATAATGCCGGAGCTTTGTCGTGAACTGAACATATGATGTACCGATTAAGGAGGTAGTAGTTTTGTAGTATTGATGACCTAGTTCTTAGGAGTTTGTTTTAATGATATTATTCTCTTTGTTTTTAGTGTTGTGACTGGATTATTGCCTGACTGATGGTTGCCTGACTGTCCCAGTCGGAAATAGTGGATGTTAGAGGTATTGTTTAATATAAAGGGAGCTTTTTATGTTTTAAATTGTGTAGTATTTATAGTGAGTGCATTTTATTTAAATTATGTGTTTTTATATCTTCATATTCATTTGTTGTAATAGACTGTGTTTTCCCTTTTAGGGATGCACGGTTACCGTTTACTTTAGATTTAATACTTTTGTTATTGTTTTTTATTTATTTTGTTCTGTGAATTTGGGACCCAGAGTGTCAGAGGAGAGATTAGGCCCCAAAGAAACTGGATTAATAGTGACTGTGTTACAGTGCTGACTTGTGTTTGTGTCACTTGCATTGCCCACTGTTAATCAAGTTGTTTATTCTTTTCTTTTGTAGG